TGGGGAATGGAAGGGTGAGGGAGAGGAGACACGGAGAGGGAGGGAGACCAACAGAGGCGGAGGGAAAGAGAGTGCCCACCAGAGAGTGTCTGGGTAAACATGAAGGAGAGATGTGAGGTTGTAGCTAGGACTCAGAACAGCAGACAAGCTGGGCCAGTAAGACCTGTAGGCAACTGCAAGAAGGGCTTCCAACTGCATAAACAGTAAACAACCCCAGTCCTCCGGGGAGAGTCTCGGCGGCGGCAGCGGCGGCGGCGGCGGCGCCCCCCCCACCCCTAGGCAGTGTCTTCAGGTGCAGAGCTCTTCTGGCGAGCAGTGGTCCAGTGAGGTTGATTCCTAGGATAAAGAACAAAAGCATGTCCTTTATCAATTGAGTGGTTTAGATGGCCTGTCTCCACAAGGGGCAGCGGTAGGACCCAGATTCTCTTCTTTCGATCAGAAATTACATAACAGAGTAGACTAAAGTGAATTAAAAGAAGATAAAAAACAAAATCCACAAAGTAGCCAAGTTTTCCCAGGAGGAAACGGCTTTCCCTTGCTCCACCACAAAGCCTGGTAGCGGCTTCTTCCCTTTCTTATGCTAATTACCCCTCAGGGAGGGACGGTTGTGACGCCTCCTCTATCCTTTCTGGGGGCCTTTCAAATTCTAAGAAGGGTGACTGTCTCTTTGTCCCCTTTCTTAAAATTAGCACTTTCACTGGGAAAACAGGAGGCGTGGCCCAAAACTGATTGTGAGGGGGGAGGGGCCATCCTCAGTGGCATCTCGGCTCGCAGGTCGCCAGTTCACCACCACCGCCTAAGGCGGTCCAGATTTAGCACACCTACGGTGGTGTGCAACAGGGCTCTGGAGGTTAGAAATAGGTTAAATAGGAAATAGGAGTTAGAAATAGGCATGTCTACCACAATAATCCCATCGTTCACTTTCAAAGCTCCAGTTGAAATAATCTGAGAACTAAAGACAGCAACCGCGTCCTTCTGTGTAGTTCGACAGGAGAGCCCTCCGTTCGGATCCTCAGCAAAAGGGAGAAGGACAGAGAACACGTGGGGTCCGGACTTGCTGTGAAAATGTAGGTTGGATTATTCAGGCACGTCCAGGTATGGTGAAGTCAGGAGGACACGGCTAGGACTGAACATTTTGTAACAGCCATGGTGGCACAGTCCTGTAATCTGATCTCAGATTGGAGGCCACCCTGGGCTACATAATGTCAGGCTAGCTTTAGCTACACAGCAAGACCCTGTCTCAGAATAAAACCCAGGATAGCTATGAGGAAAGGAGCAGAACGGTGGGGCATCCACCCACACCAGGTGACAGGTGCTGAGCAGGGAAGCCCCAGGTCAGAAGGTGAAGCTGGTGGAGGGAAGAATGAGGGCTAGAGACGGCTAATAGAAGGGGCTGGTCAAGACAGGCTCAGCAGGTTAGGACTGGCCAGTGTTGGTCACCACTGCAATAGTTGTCTTGTGGTACCTGCCTTAACTGGCCAGAGGGTGAAAGTGGTTTAGAACACCTGAACTTTAACGAGGGTGTTAAAAGCCACGGCTGGGAAAGATCACAGGGCTGGGTCATTCTGCATATGAAAGGGTCACCTGGGCTAATCCTAGAGGGGTGATCTCTCCAAAATCAGCAAGTCCACAGGGGTCAAAGCTAAGGAGTTCCCACTCTGTTTCCTTGGGCTTCCTAGGAACACCTCTCTTCTCTCCCGCCACCCTGGCCAACCCAGCACCAGGCCCATCAGAGGGCCACATCCTGTGCCCTCCAGCAGGCAACACTTCATATCCTACTCCTTTTTGTTGCTCTTTTTTTATTTATTATGTATACACTATTCTGTCTGTGTGTATGCCTGCAGGCCAGAAGAGGGCACCAGACCCCATTACAGATGGTTGTGAGCCACCATGTGGTTGCTGGGAACTGAACTCAGGACCTTTGGAAGAGCAGGCAATGCACTTAACCTCTGAGCCATCTCTCCAGCCCCTTGTTGCTCGTTTTTATGAGACAGGGTTTCTCTGTGGTGCTCTGGCTGTCCTAGAGTTCACTCTGTAGACCAGGATGTCAAGTTGGGAGCGTAGGCCCCAGTCCCTCGCATCTATCCCAGCCCCCAGGCCCGGTCTGGACTCCAAATCCCAGCTGGCCAGGTCCTGACGGTGCTGTTTCTCCATGGGTATATGCTGCCACACAGAAGGGGGGGGGGGAAAAAACAACTCATTAAGGACTGGCAGTGAAAAACAAGCCTCCTGCATCATGCCGAGTGTCTATCCTGGCCTGAAGCTCACCCTCGCTCCCTTTCTCTTTATCCATTCTCCATGTAAGGAGGCTTAGTGGTCCGCCAGTGGTTTTCCTTCCCTCTACTTTTATCCTGCACTGGGTCTTGTAGCTCACTCCACAACACACAAACTGCAGATCTGAGAGTCATCTTGGATAGACGCTCACTTGATTTAAGCAGCCCCCCTCCTGATGGGCAGGCACCTGGCATTTTGCATCTGTGGCTTCAAGAAGCCATTCTGCACTAGATACCCTCGGATGGCTTCCTCAGGCACAGGCTGGAGAATATCTGTACGAGGGAATTGTCTTTGTGGGGAGAAACACCTAGTAACTGCTCACATCTGCAGCCCAGGGTCCATTCTTACTTGCATAGGAAAGCGAGGTTGATGGCTTAGCTAACTCATGTCACATGACCTTTTCTGGAACTGGAGAAACATTCTTTCGCCCCAGATATAGAGGGTGTCAGTGAGTCAAAGAAAGGTCTAACTTGGTGAACCAAGGAGTTTATTAGGGTTACATTGTGGAGCATGGGTGAGTCAAAGGCAGCTACATCACTAGGAAGTACCATGGGGGCAACTTACAGCTTCAATCTCCAGCCCCTAATCAGGACATGTTAACAACCTTCGCTGGTGAGGATCGTCTGTGGGTGGTCACAGCTGCTCAGAATAGCCACGGTCATATCCAAGCAGGAGGAAACCGGCAGGGGACAAATTCTTCAAACCCTGGAGTCTGGCTGGGAGGCAGGGGTCAAACTGGGGTCTTAGATTTCCCATCTGCCTGATGACACTCTTATGACTGGGAGACATAGAGGTGCCTGGAGGTCAGGAAGCTGAGTCAGATCAGGACCCCAGACCCTAACTGTCTTCACCTGAGACTAAGGCAAGGACCCCAGCTAAAATCTAAACATCCCCTCCCAACTTTGCCTTCAGTAGCTTTCCCTCCATAGGGCCCTGGCTCTTCTCTGTGAAATGGACAATCACTCCCAACTCGTGTCTTGTGTCTCCTGCTGGTGACAGGAAGGTGTAACGAGATGACTGGTGGGTGTGGAAATGCCCAGAAAGTTCGGCCTCTATCTACTAGGAGCAGGAGTTACGTGGAGATGCCTTTGTAATCCCTTGCCGGACTATTAATATGCCTGAAACATACACAAAATACTCAATTATTTGGACTGACGAATCAGAGTGTGAGGTTATCAGGGGCTCTAATGTCCCTCTTGGAAGTCCTCAGGATGAGGTGGGAAGCATGGTCCCTAGGAACATCTTGGCTCAGTCCCAGCTGGTTGAGGTCAGGGAAATATGTGGGACCATTAATTTTCCAGAGAAGCCAATTTTGTTCTTTTTTATTATTAGTTTTTAATTAAAATTTTTATAAAATTTTTTAAATAATTATTTAAGGTGGGGTATGTATTATGGGTGTCACAGTACTCAGAGGGTAGAAATCACAGGACGACCTTCTGGAGTCCATTCAGGTGATCAGCCCTGGTGACAGGCACCCTTAACCACTGAGCCATTTCAAATACCCTCAATTTCGTTCTCAGCGTCTAGCTTTGATGTTTATTCAGGTATTTTCAGGATCTTGTGAGAGTTGAGCCAAAAAGTCCCATAAGCTGGTTGTAGCCATAGTGTGCCTTGCCCTCTTCCATTGCACAGATGAGAAAACTGAGAGGAGGGGAACTCAGCCAGTGACACAGCCAAGACCAGGTGCCATCAGTCACTACCTCCTTTCTCTCACACCCTGCATCTATCTTGTTTCTGGGTGTCTGCGTGCATATGTCTCTTGGTCCCCCTTTTCTTGCCACCTTTCCATCTCCGGCTACTCCCGGGATGTCTGTCCCTCCCTTTGTTCCCTAGTCAAATGTTCTCTTAGTCAACAGACCTCGGGAGCTGGGTGCAGCCACCAACCTGCGCCAGCCTCGCCTCCTTGCTTGGCCCCCACCGTGTTTCCGGAAAGCGGGCGGGTCCCCCGGCTCGGCTCTGCCGTCAGCACCCCTGCCTTCGGTCTGCGCCCCCTCCCCGCTGACCTCACTGGCGCGGCATCACGAGCGCATATAAGCGACGGCCCCTCGGAGGAGCGCGCAGTCGACGCGGGATCCTGGAGCTCTGCAGAGTCTACCCCACCAGTTTGCACTCTGCAGCTCAGCATCTCCAACTGCACAGCGGAGTCTCCACCTCACAGGTAATGCTTCCGACCCCGGGACCCCAAACAGGTGTCCCCCTTCTACTCTCCTCATCGCCTTTATGGAGCTCACTGACAGGGACACCCGGAGCGCTGGATGGAAGAGGTCCACCAACAGGTCTACGCTACGACGGTCGGACCCACCCCGGAGTTCAAGGCGTACATTAACATTAGAAGTAGAACCTTTCGTTTGGGAATTAGGATATGGGCGTCCAAAGAGACTCCTGGTTTAGCCTAGACAGGAGCGGCAGGGTTGCACGAGGAGTTCTTGCAGCGAGCCAGAATCTCAATTCTGGAGTAAGGAAGGAGGCTGGCAGTGGAGGGCTAGGGTTAGAATGAAACCTTGGGGACAATTTTGGCAGCAATGACTTTAGCTTCTCGGGCCAGCGCTGCGCTGCAACCTTGGTGGATAACACGGGAGTGGAGGGTTTCAATCCCAAACGCAGCGCTGACTTCCTGTGCTTTAGGAGACAGTAAGGGATGGTGGGGACAAAGGGGTTTCCACCTCCACCGCCTCCTGACTTGGCTGCCCTAGTGGACCAGGAGAGTTGCCAGAGGCTTAGATGCACCAGACAGGTGGCGGGTGACCCTGTTGTTGGGGGTAGGGGTGGCCCCAGAACATCACGGTGCATTCACCCTTGTTCCCACTGTCTTTGACCCTAGAAGCCACGATGCCGGGCCCTTGGCTGCTGCTGGCTCTGGGCTTGATCTTCACCCTGACTGGTGTCCCCGAATCCTGCGCCTTGCTGGAGGCAGCCCAGGAGGAGGGTGCAGTGACTCCCCACCTGGGGAACGTCCAGATACGTCCAGAACGTCGATTCTTGCAGAAAGACCTGCAGCGGGTGCGAGGGGACCTAGGTGCGGCCTTAGGTAAATATAGGGGGTAGGGGAGCTATGTGAATGGGTAGGGAGCCACCTGTCATGCCCCTTCCAGACATAAGTTCAGATAGCCTCATAGCCACTTCCTCAACAGGGTGAAAAGGTGACCAACCCTTGGGACCACAGTAATTCTTAGTGCTGGACATAATCAGAAGACAGACTTTCAGTAGTCACAATTTCATGTGATCCCTATCTGTGACAGTTTTAATTGCTGCCTACTAAGCACTTGTGTGTATTGCCCTACCTGTAAGGGAACATTGCCATTTTGTACTGAATTTGAGTTCAGAGAACTCAAGTGACTTATGGTCAACCAAAAAGGAAGAAGAGAGCTGAGGCAGTGCCCTTGAACATCTGGGGTCACCCAGGGTGGGGTTGTCTATAAGGCCTGAGGAGCAGACAACGGAAGGAGCTGTCAGCAGTGCTAGGACAGTAGAAGTCTGGAGTGGGTCATGGACTGAAGGCTAGTGTCCCTGATGAAGGGACCAGGTTCTCCAACCCTGGCTTTTCTTCTCCAGACTCCTGGATCACGAAGCGTCAACATCCAGGCAAAAGGGAGGAGGAAGAAGAAACTGAAGCTGAAGAGAGGGGGGACATGGGAGAAGGGGGAACCTGGACTCCCCACAAACGACAGCACCCTGGCCGCCGTGCCAACCAGGACAAGTATTCGTGGGTGGACTCAGAGGACAGCGCCTGGATGCCACAGTCCAGGGTACCAGATTTCTTTCTGGATTCCTGGTTCCTAGATGTCCCCCAAGTCAAGCGGCAGCACCCCGGCCGGAGATCTTTCCCCTGGATGGAGTCTGATCTCACCAAGAGGCAGCATCCAGGCCGGAGGTTCATAGATCCCAAGCTTCAGAGAAGCTGGGAACAAAAAGAAGAGGGAGAGGGTGTCCCAATGCCCGAGAAACGCCAGCATCCTGGCAAGAGGGCATTGGGTCACCCTTGTGGGCCCCAGGGAACTTGTGGCCAAACAGGCCTGCTCCAGCTCCTGGGTGAACTGAGCAGGGGTCAAGAGACCCTGGAGGAGCAAAGTCCAGAGCTGGAAGACTGGGTCAGGGAGCCTCTGTTGGAGGACTAAACCCAGAGTCAGGCTTTAGTCTAGGATGACTGAAGCCCTGTGTGCTCCACCCTGTCTCCTTCACCACCTTTCCCCCCTCAGAGGTTAACCCTGAGCCCTCTGTTCATAGCATCTTCCCAATCCTCTTCCTTACCCACTTTAATGACCCCAGTCAGGAAGTTAGAGCCCTACTTGTCCCTGCAAGCAAGAGGGGACCGTCTCGTTGTCATTGTCCTTGTCCTGGACAGCCCCATGGTGTCGCACACTCCTCAGCACTGGCCAAGATGGGACCTCCTCGAAAGGGTGGGATTGAAAAGTTTGGTGTCAAAATCCAAGTTCCATCCTCTGCCCCATGTGGCAAGACTGACCTGGTATAATTTCAGCACCCCCCTTTAAGGCTGGGGGCCCTGGGAAGTTTGGGGGGGGTGTTCTGACATGCCCTGGGGGGGGGCCATATCTTGTATATACCCCATGCTCTTGTTAATCTCAACAACAATAAAATAAATTCAGGTCATCTGTTGCTTTGCTCTTCTGTCTAGATTGCAGGTTTTCTTTGGGGGTTTTGGGGATGGCACCCAGCCACAGATGTTGTCCGCTCAGAGGACATTAAAAGGGTTCACTCTCCCCTGAGGAAATCAGGACTCTCTTGCCTGTTCACAATCTCAGACCACTATGTAACTGTGGCAAAGGGGTCTCCGCTCTGTAGTCTGATTGGCGGGGTGTGGTGGGTGGAGATTAGGGACTGGAGCAGACCTAGCAAGCAGCAGAGGAGCCTAGAGTCTTCCAGACTGGGGGAGCACATGTTACTGTGTCTAAAACTGGGGGACTTCTGGAGTTCTGGGAAGCAGGCTAGGAGGGGGCAAATTGAAGTCACCTGACACCGTATTCGCGAGCGCTGTCCCTGAACACGCACTTGTGCCGTGCATTACAGCCCTCCTAGGTAATACTACTCAGTGAAGGAATTGGCTCCTGTGCATCCTTTACCTGATGCCACCTTCTCTGTGTGCGTAGGTGTGGACACTTCCTTCAGCCTGGGACTCCCGCACACATCTCGCTCAGTATAGGCTAAAGTCAGAGGGGAAGGCGCTCTGCACTTGGCAACTACATTTCCCAGCCTCCTTTATGAGTGGGACACAGTCACGTGATCGATTCTGGCCAATGGGCAGACTTAGGGGCTGAAGAAACAAAGTCCCTGAGAGTCACTAAACTAACCAATTGCCAAACAAACGCAACCTGCATTTTCCTACCACACAAAAACCCTTCCCAAGTTCCGTTCCCTCCCCCCCCCACCCCGAGGTCTCCTAGGTCAGGGCCTGACCTGAAGAAGGTATTTGATTAACGCTCATTACATGGAAATTACAAGCTTCAAGTCACTTCTATTTTAATTTTCTAACCTGACTTTCCACCAGTGGGAAAACAAAACAAGCGAACAGAGGAGGACAGATTGGCATGAGAAACACTGGTTCGGGGAAATGAGAAGGAAGGAGAAACTGGCAAAGCAGAGAGGCCTTCCTGGAGGAGGAACTCACTAAGCCCAAGTCTCAATTGAGAAAAAGCACCTGAGGCAAACGTGTAGGACATCAACAAGGGCCCCTGGCCGAGGCTGCTTGTTCTGGGGGAGTATGTGAGATAGAAATGTGTGGGAGCCTCTCTTCCCTCTCCCACCCTCTTCCAAGCCCTGAGGGGAGCAAATGCCACATCTTCTGCTGCCAGGCCTTTCAGGTTCCGTCCAGTTCCCACACAGAAGCTTTGAGGTCCTGGGTCTATAGGATGACTCAGCGGGCTGCTGGCTTGTTTTGTCAACTTGACCCAAGCTAGAGTCATCTGAGAAGACGGACCCTCAGCTAAGAAAATGCCTCCAAAGGTGAAGCTGGAGGAAGCCAAGCCTGTAGCACATTTTCTTAATTAGTGATTGGTGGGTGTAGAAGTTAGCTCAATTCAGGAAATAACCAGGCTAAATACAAGATAAAGCAATTACAGTTTTGTTTATTATAAGGGAAAAACCTCACAAAACAGGAACGAGAAGTCCAAGCTCAGCTGTGCTGTGTGGGAGCCACAGAGAAAGCGCACGTGGGCCATGTGCCCACCCATTCTCCACCGCCACAGGTCCCAGAAAGCCACGCCCTAACTTGGTCCCACCTGTTGAAGATAATTGGTTAACAAAGCTTCCCCATCAGGTGGAGAAGGGTCCAGCCCCTTGAGGGTGAGGCCACCCCTGGGCTGGTGGTCCTGGGTTCTGTAAGAAAGCAGGTTGAGCAAGCCATGAGGAGAAAGCCAGTAAGCAGTACTCCATGGCCTCTGCATCAGATGCTGCTTCCAGGTTCCTGTCATGTTGGTGCTTCTTCCTTGACTTCCCGCGGTGGATATGTAAGCCAAATAATCGCTTGTTTCCACAAGTTGTTTCTGATCAAGGTATTTCACCACAGCCATAGTAACACTCCTTTAGGAGTTTAGGGAATAAGAAAGTTGAGAGCAGTCAGGCGGTGGTAGTGCAGGTAATGTACGCCTTTAACCCCAGCACTTGGGAGGCAGAGGCTAGTGGATCTCTGTGAGTCTGAGGCCAGCCTGGTCTACAGATCGAGTTCCAGATAGCCAAGGCTACACAGAGAAACCCTGTCTCAAAACAAACAAAAAGAATGTTGAGAAACCATGCAGATGTTGAAGGCCTGCTTTTTTATGATGTCCCAAAAGGAAGCAAAGAATCTCTTGGGTCATCTGTGTGAAGAATATGTGGTGTTTGATCCACTGGGGCTAAAAAATCAGCCATGATTAACTAGAGACCAGAACCACCAAAGTGAAACTTTTGTTGTACGGGATAATTACACTAGTCAGCTGGAGCTGAGAAATCGGCAGTGATTAAGAGGAGACCAGAACGGCTGGGCTAGACTCTTCTGGGAAGTGTTTCCTGAGAGTCGGCACACAGAAGCTGTGTTCTAGAGGTGGCCTAGGCTATACCTTGTGCTTGCAGCCAGACTTGGTAATGTGTCAAAGTCTCTCAAGTGGTACTGGTTCTGAAGGTCTGTAAGGGTTGTGGAGAGGCCAGGAGAGACCATTGGTGAAGCTACAGCCTCAGTAGCAGTTGAAACCCCAGGACTGAAGGGGTCATGAAGAAAAGTCTAGGCCTGGCACCATGAAGAGAGTCCAAGAGAGCCTATTGGTGATAAAGTGCTGCCCAGTTGCAGTCTAAGACCCAAGTTTTTGAAAATACCAGTACCTTGGGGTGACCACCAAGAATAGCAGCAGCAGTGGGGTGTAGCCTTCCTAGCTTAGAAGACAAGCCGTGTGTGCCGCAGAGGGTAGAGCCAGAGAAGTGACCCAAGCCCTTTGGAGGAACCCAGAAGATCATGAGTTGATCTCAAATACTGGACATTGAGGTTTTGGTTTTTTGTTTTGTTTTGTTTTTTGTTTTTTTTGAGACAGGGTTTCCCTGGGTAGCCTTGACTTGGCTGGCCACAAGAGCTCAGAGATCTGCCTGAGTTCAGGGATTTAAGGCGTGTGCCACCGCTGCCCAGCTGACATTGAGTTATTTACACTGCTCGAGTTTTTTGTTTGTTTGTTTTGTTCTGTTCAGATTGTGACCATTCCCTGGTTCTTCCCTCTTGAAGAAAGTATTTATTTTTGATTTTTACAGGAGCCCCTGGTTGAGAGACTTTAAACTTTTTATAAAGAGATGCTGGAGTTTTATAAAAAGTTTGGCTGTAAAAACAGAGCATGCAGCAGCTCTCTACATGTACTTAGTTAACTGCTATGGCAGCTGTCTGGCCAGCTTCACATCTGCAGTATGTGTGATGATTGATTGGTTGATTCTGATGCTAGACATTGAACTCAGGTCCCTTTACATAAGCACTCTACTACCGAGCTACACCCCGCCCTGCTCTGAGCTTTGAAAGTGTGCTCATGTTATAGAATATATCAGTACTTCCTTTTTTTTTATAGCTAATAGTACTGTCTTGTGGTGGTCAGCACTCTATCACAAACTCTGTCTGTCTTAGGGCTGAGGATGTAGCTCTGTGGTAGTCTGGCTTGCAGGAGACTCCTTCCCAGCACTCTGTCGCACTCAAACAGAAGCCATAGTGTGAAGTGGTCCATTCCTGTAGTCTCAGCTTGTGGGAGGGTGATGAAGGAGGGGTTCTCTGAAGGCCAGGAATTTGGTGCCAGCCCAGGCAGCAAAGGTCCTATGAAGAGACAAAATCAAACACCACCAACCAGGTGTTGGGGGTGCATACCTTTAATCCCAGCATTCGGGAGGCAAAGACAGATGGATCTCTGTGAGTTCGAGACCAGGACAGGTTCCTGAGCTACAGAGAAACCCTGTCTCAAAACTACCACCCCCCAAAAAACCCACCAAACCAAATATGTTTAGTATGTGTGTGTGTGTGTTGTGCGTATCCTCACACACCCCTTTCTTGAACCCATTTTAAGCATACATTATTTTGCTTTGTTTTTCGTTTTATTGTTGTTTTTAAAGACAGTCTCACTGAGTTGTCCAAGAGGAACTGTGTGTCTTTTTTCTGCATGTATGTCTGCGTATCATATGCTTACATACTTCCCACATGTAGTAGGATCCCACTTGTTTGTTTCCCTGCTGCCCAACAGCTCAGACCCAAAATAACAACACAGAACTGTATTAAATCACTGCTTGGCCTATTAGCTCTAACTTCTTATTGGCTAGCTCTTACATCTGAATTTAACCCATTTCCACTATTTTGTGTATCACCACAAGGCTGTGACTTACCAGGTAAATTTCCAGTGTCTGTCTCCGGCAGGGATACATGGCTTCTCCCGACTTGGCCTTCTTTCTCTCCGCATTCAGTTTAGTTTTCCCCGCCTAGCTCTGCTCTACCCTATCACAGATCCAAAACAGCTTCTTTATTCACCAAGGTATTCACAGCATTCAGAGGGGAATCCCACATCACCCACAAAAGTTAGAAAAGGGTATTAGGTCCCCTGGAACTTGTGGGTGCTGGAAACTGAACCCAGGTCCTCTGCAAGAGCAGCGAGTGCTGTTAACCGCTGAGCTGTCCTCACCTTAGTAACTTTTTAAATGGCTTTTCTAAGTGGTACAGTCACTGACTTGTCAGCCATGCAGCATGAATACATTAATGGCCTCTAGATCTCTCCTCTTCTCCTCACTCCCATGGTGGCCCCTGAAGTATGGCTCCTTCAGCCCACGCCACCCCCTTTCCCTTGCTGTCCCTAAAAAACAATGACAAGC